TCGAGCAGGATTTTTATTACCGGATTGACGATTTAAAAAGGGAAGGATAAGCCGATTATTTACAACCGATTCGGACCGAGGAAAATGAAATATACAGATCGTAGTTCGTATGGATCTACGGCCGCATCCAGGGATCCCTATCCCCTTTCCAACAATTTTCGAGCCGCGATCCTCGCGTGATAAGCGGCGCTTTAAAGAAAAGGGTGGCAAAATGATAATTTTTTCGGCGAAAGTGGCTATTCCGCGAGGGTACAGGCGACGTGAATCGCTTTCGGCAAATAGGGGTAGCTTTAAAGGGTGAGAAAAGTAAATTGAACGACGGGAGGGATGTGACCGACTGATATGAGCCGAGCCAATGAAAGGTGGACGGTTTGCAAATGTACGCGGGATTTACATCCCCCCCCTCCCCAACAGGCGGTTCACTAATCTCGTGAAACCATATCGTTCGAAGAACCCGTTCGAGATATCGATTTACATTATGGTCAACATTGCTACAATCGAACTTGGTGGGTGGCCAACGTGGGTGGGGCACTATTGACAAAGTATACACGGTGTAGCCTGTCGCGGATGATAGTGGAACGATTGTATTAATTCGCAAGATCTGACTGGAAGGATGATATTATAATATATAATTTATCCTTCAGTGGCTCGTTCAGATTATTGGCGCTTATTTTCGTTTGAGAAAAGATGATATATTAGTGACCAATTCGATATTTATATAAGGTCAATCCTTTCGAGTGGATTAAAATTACCTTTTATGTTAATCTAATTATTTGAAATCTTTTGAAAAATGCTCCAATTTGAAAAAAATTAAAATTATCGTCTAAATGATACATAGTTGATATGCAATAATTTTGATCGAATTGAATCAACTTGGAATTTAAATCAAATTAGAAATTTTTTTCGCATAAGATTTCACGAAGCTTCTCAATAATTTTTCGACATAAAATATTTTCAAATATTTTTCTTTTTTTTCTCGCAACGAAAGAACGTTTGCACGGCACAGCTATATAATATATCATCCAAACTTTTGCAGACAATTCTAGAATCATTTCAGAATCATTCTGTGCAATAATGGAGAACGGGTCACGTACTCGTTGAAGACAAAAAGTGAAGCCCTTTTGCTAACTTGTCCCAGGCGAATACGAGCACTCGACGAAATCTAGACGCGAAACTTCAATTCTTTTCTTTTTCTTTCTCCTCTTTTTCTTTTTCAACAGAGAGGCACAAGAGCGCTCCTTTCCTTCTCTCATCTTTCTTCTCCTTCTCCTCCTTCTTCCTCTCTCTCTCTCTTTACACGATATAAATATAAAAAACTGGCTTCGAATAAATCCAACATGGCGCGCAATTCGAACCCGTTACTTCCCTAAAAAAATTAGTACATTTTTCCCACGAGTTTAAACTTTTATAAAATAATAAAAAAAAACTCTAATAAACTCTAATAAAAATAATATAACTCTAATGAAATAAAATTAATTTCGTAGATCCGGGATAAACTGTTTCATACACACTGACATATACAACGTCACATTTGACGTCCGTTCCCACGCTTTTGTCGTTCCACGCGCAAAATAGTGAAAATCGAGGCTTCGCTATCAGGGAAAGGCGGGCGAAGGTGGGCGAGGTGTACAAAAGTTTTGCGCAAATAAATCTCGCAAGAGGAGAGGACAATGGGGGAGAGGGGGGCCGTTGCTGAAAGCGCGTTTAACCGTGAATTATTGTTTAAAGCGCGGCACGGTTTAAGACAAAAAAAAAAAAAAAAACTACGCTTAAAGTGGATCAGCTGTTTTCTATCGGATTATTATTATCCTTCCTTGCCGCTACACCTTCCTGTCCCTATCATCTTGTTAACGTTTCGCAGCTGTGTCGGCTTACGGAAACATCTGCCGCGAAATGCTTATTCCATTCAAATTTCAGTTGTTTCTGTTTATAGACGGTAAATACTTAATGAACAGAGGGAAATCTGGCGACAATTGGGTCAGATTTGATACTCAAAGTATCTCCTCCGTCTCTCCTCCGTATAATCACATTCAAAAGAAATTAGAATCGTGTATTCATGATTTTCAAGATTATTGCAACAGATTAATCTTTATATCCTTTATGAAGTTATTCTTAATAATATGGAGCTAATTTATGGATATAATTTATGAAGTTATTCTTAATAATATAATAATTAATAATATAATATTCTTAATAATAAGATCAATTTATATTTTTATTTATTTATGAATTTGTGAGAAATGGATCGATGAAGTGATACTTCAAATATTAAAAAATTCTACTTCATATTTTTCCATTTATTTCTATATAATTGTTTATGTATATACATACGAATTATTCATATTTGAAGCATTCGTTATTCATTCGTTTTACAGTATATGCTTTTACGTCGTCGCTTTACACAAAGTTGAAGTTGGAAAGATGTAGATCAGTCTCGAAAACTGACAAAAAGGGAGCACGTTTGCGAGATTGAAAGCGCTTGTGCTTATAGTTAACTGTAATCCATTGAGAGGCTTTCTTGGTTAATACGGGTAGCAGCAGGAAAAGTGAATCGACGTCGAGAAACGTTTAGGTACTTTAGATTCAACGTGTAACGAAGGAAACGGATTCAAAGGAAAGAGAAAATGTGTATAAATTAGATATATGTGCAATTCAATAGTTTATAACATTGTTGACGAATTAACCCATTCTGTAAATATTTTCAATAATTTTGAATTTGAAGTGCAAATCTGTACAATAAATATAACAAATAACAACAAGTTATTATTTTTTTTAAACTTCTCAATTAGAAGACAATAAACGTGTAATTAATACACAGTGAGAATTTTATTAATCCACATTTATTAATAAATAGATAATAAATAGATTTTGATATTTAAAATTCTTGATAACACTTTTGATTACAGAATTTGTTTAGTAACACGATTTCTAAATTTAAAGTATAAATTCATGATAAATAGGTAGGATAATTTAATTTGATTTAAGAATCTTTAGGCAATAAATGTTTTTATCCGAAGAGATAAAGATTAAATGTGTTTAAAATTACAAATGCTTTCTTCTTTTAAATTGTAGTTCTCAGACTACAGTCGTTTCCATCGATATCCACAAAGTAATAAGCAAGATTTCAAGCTTAATTTACTTCAGGAAACGACGTTTCTGTCGGCATTTCCGCGCAACTCTTGAGAATCAACGCGCTTCAACATAGAAACTCTTTGACACTGAAATTGCAAATCGGATAAATTACAAATCTACTGCTTACCTTAAAACTGCTATCTTCATCTTTTAAAGTAAACGCGACACTAAACACAGATTAAAACTTGTATTATAACCAGTTACTGAAAAAATTTGTCCAACTGTTTCTGAATTTTCAAACAAAATTTTAAAATCAGATATTAAATGGCCATTAAATGAATTTCTTTCTACATCAACAAATTTTGAAATAATATATTTTCAAAAAATATTCATTTTTTTTTAGTATAATACAAAATATCAAAAAAATATAAGAGATGATAATCAAAGATGAAATAATTAAAAGAATTTGTTTATCTAATTTTAAAAAATTATCTTAAATTTTTCTTATAAAAAATTACAATTATTCAATTATTTTTCAAGTATATAAAATTGTTAAAAATTAGCTGCAATTAAAACTTATCAAAGAAATTTTTGTTACACTTGAAAACACTCTTGTCACAATATAAATCATATCGAAATAATAACCACGATTTCGAAAACGATAATAAATAACGTTGAAACGACGTGGCATTGCCCGTATCCGACGCGAATTTCGCATACGATTGTCCGTTTTACTTTGTTGCCGATGATCTACATTAAATCAAAAGTGATTTACTAGGCGATCAATTAGCTTGTCGAACTTACAGCGACGATACGCCGGTTATCGATATCGCTTGAGGCAACCGTGCTTCCTATGAAGATGGAATTACTGGGTCCAATTACTTGGTGGTAATGCATCATACCCGTCAACTTAGGTGTACCGACGTAAGCAGATTTTATGTGAATACGCGGGAACACGACGCGATCTGATTGAAATTTCGAACCGAGAAATGAGATTTCGTTCTTTTCACACCGCTCCCCAATTGGAATGGCTCTATAAATTTGTAATTTTAAGATTTATCACGCCAATGTAACGGTACATTTATAATTATTGTCCCGTTTAGAAAATTGAAACGAAACGTTTTTCCTTCTCTCGTTTTATTTTTTGTAAATTTTTTCGCGAGAAAAAAAAATTTTTTTTATTCATTTTATTCGTGCGCAAATGTTTTTATTCACGTTGCAGTATAAAATAATACGAATACTGTTGAATGATAGAATGATTATTTATAAATAAATAAGAACTCAGATATTTGGTGTTGAATTAAATCTTGTTTGTTTGCAGGTATAGAAACAAAGTTTGCGGGTTCGAGTTGCAACGATCTTGTAACTTCAGATGGTGCGGGCTCTACAATAATTAGCGGCCATTTTGACCATAGAATTAGATTTTGGGATACAAGAGCCGAATCCAGCTCAAATGACATTTTATTGGAAGGAAAGGTCACTTCGCTGGATTTATCTCGTGGTAAGTTTCGTTTTTGTATGTTCAGAATATTTCATCTTATAAACTTATACGTATAAATTATATAACTTTATCGGCTGAGATATTATCTGAATAAATAATGATAGATTGGAAAGCCAGTTGCAAAGAAGAATCATTTGTCATAAACTTTTCACATAAAATTAAATCATGGCGAGTGCAACTGGAGGAAATAATTAATCAGATGATATGCAAGATTAAACAAATAGCCAGTACATATGATAAATTAATAACGGAAAGATTACATTTATATATGCTTTCAATTATAAAAAAAATAATTAGAAACAAAATAAATGTCATACGCTTCTGATTCAACGAATTATTTTCATTATTATAAAATTTTTTAAACAATAAATAATAAAATAAATAAAACTTTCGAAATCTATAAAATTGAAATCTTTGAAAATAAAACTGTCCAGATGTTTTTGTAATTATTAAATATAATTATTAAAAAAAAATAATAATAAATAAAATTTTCTACGACAATCTCAAGCATTTGAAACGTAGAAATGCAACGATAAGAGAGAAACGTAGAGAAGAATAAATAATACCTCGGTCCATCATCTTCATGACAAAGAGAAAATATATCGGAGTTCGCGAAATTGTTAATCAGTCATATTGAATGCACTTTGTGCATTGATTCAGGCATCAAAGGAAAATATTCAAACTTGTGGGGAGACGGACAGATGTTGAATTATGAAAATGTTTCAACTTGTAGAACTCGAGGAATCGTATTGCATGCAAACATTTGAAGCATGGACATAAAAAAGGCTGCAAGCACTATAAGAAATTGTATCGTAGGAATGTTAAGATATACAGCGAACACGCGTTAAAAATGATATTCAGTTTGTATGATCTTTTTATTTTCCTCTCCAAGAGGGAAATAAATCGTGAATTTTTAACTGTTTTTTTTCTTTTTTTTTTCTTTTTTTTTTTTTTTTTT